GTGTCGTAAGAGAGGACTAAGGGAGCAAACTACGCAGGGCACCAGCACTGCAAAGAGAAGAAAAACTTGAAACAAACCCTTTTTTTTTTTTTTTTAACGTGTGGAAATCCCCTCGGACCGTCACCCCTCCGGGGTTTGCGGCGGGGTGGTGTGTCGGACTCGGACCGACTAAAACCACACGGTGTGCCACTCTGCGCCTGTAACAGGAGGGATCCGGGAACAGCTGTTGTTAAGACATCCGGACCCCTCCTAGCGCCAGCCCGCTCCTGGTGCGGGCTCCGTCTCAATATATTTTCCTCTCTTTAGGCGACGTCCGGCACACGCGGACGCCGCCCCCTCGCGGCTGGCCGCTGACTTCTGGGAGCCCCACCGAGATAGGCGTTCCCGACGCCATCTCACCCTCCGTGGATGACCCATCCACTCCACTGTTCCTCCTATTCGTCTCCTTGTCCGTTAGGCTTGCCTTTTTCTGTTGTGTGTTTTTTCCGATCGTTTTCTTTTTTTGGTTTATATTGATATTTTCCATATTAAATCCCACGAGTGGGGGAGAACTAAAGGTCCACCCGGGCAGAGATCCCCCATTACCCGGGCAAGCGTAAGTTTTTAACCCAACCGAGGGGTCCGCAGGTACCTCGGCTTGGAGTGCGCTCGAGACTGAACTTCCCATCAGCCATGCATCCCCTGGTCACGCACCAGAACACAGGATTCGGGGAATTTTTTAGAGAGGTTATCTTCCTCGCGGTCCGGGCGGTTAAGCCAAGACCCTCGCCCCCGATCAGAGCCGCGAGACTTAACCACAGCGCTCTTCTCGGGATTGCGATATGCCGACGGTTGACAGGGAGACTACGTCCCCCTGCCTGCTCGGTGGTAGTGTCAGTACACGCCGAGCCCGTCCTCCTTTCTCCACCGCTATCAGCGGAGAAACTGTGGCCCCTACAGGGCCCCGCCATCAGGTTTTTTACCGAGGTTTCCTCCTCCATGCTCCGAAGAGCGAAGAGCCAGCAGGGCAACCGGCAGACACGCCCACCCTGCTGGACCAGGCCTTGCCCGAGAGCCGATGAACGGCTACCTCTTCTGCTAGAATATTAGCCGCTGGCGATAATCCTCTCCTCCAAGAGGACAAGGAGGAAACAGTACCATCGCCAGCGTTTCCAGGGTGCACCACGGGGAGGTTTTCTAGCCTAGCACCCCAAACAAACCCTATACCAACCCGTCTGGCTAGCGTGGTACAGTAGGTCAAAACCTCCTTACTAAGGAGAGGCCTATGGCCAGCATTGGACTATTAATGCTTGGGGCTTTAGGGCTGCTGATGATGATGATGATAAGAAGTTTAAATTTGTTGTGCTATATTAGTGACTAACATACATACATACACAGCAAAGAAATGTAAATATAGATTTAACAAGATCTTGCAATCAATAATATTGCAATGCCTCAATAAACACCCGCAGCATTCTGCTTTGGAACGTATCATATCAGGACGTGAGATTAGAAAACATATTCACATCGCTTTTTGATTCCTTCAAACATTTCGTCTAACAAATATAGTAGTGGATAAATATGCTGACTTACAAAAGTGTACTTCTCGTTTATAAAATACTAGCTTTTGACCGTGGCTCTGCCAACATGTATGATGGTTATCGCAGTAAAGAGTAATCTATAGCACTCAATACGTTTCTAAGAGTGAAAGAATTTTCACAATCGAATCAGTAGTAACGGAGATTACCCAAAACATACAAACTCACAAATTTTACCACTTCGTAATATTAGTATAGACTAGCTGATGCCCGCGACTTCGTTCGCTTGGCATTTGTAAAGCGCTGCCTTAGTGGGTTCGATTACCGGTTCGGGCAATATTTATAAGGTTTTTCTGAGAGAAAAAATAGCCTAAGTTACTCCATATACAGGCAGCTACCTAGTAGTAAAATATTATCAAAATCGGTTCAGCCTCTTTGAAGATTACCTGGCACAAACAGACAGCTAGACAGATAGACAAAAAATGTTTAAACTGGTTTTTAGGCATAGGTATCGGGCAAACAACCGTGTGAGCATGAAAAAAACAATTATTTTGACTTCACAAACAGACAATTCAATTTTATTTATTTGTATATTATAAGTATAGATTAACGCCACGAAGACGTGCCAGGCGGTTGATCTACTACATGACTTTTTTAACTGTTCATTCAGTGGTGTAGATCGTTTTTATAACTTCTCACTTCTTATACTCGTACATAGTACAACATAGTATAGTACGCACATAGTAGTCTGTTCCCAAACTTAGTAGTAGAGCTTGTTGCTATGGTAACCAAACTGCTGATAATACTGATATGTTTCTAAATACAAATATTTATGTACATATTATAGATAAATTATACCCAGACCCAAATGATCATGCTCATCACACAATTATTTGTCCTGGATGGGAATCGAACCCTAGCTTAGCTCGATCTCTGACTTAACAGTCAGAGTACTACCACTAGATCAACAGGCCCGTTATATTGTTTGTCACCTTACACACAATAGACAAGGAAATATCTCCACTGTGAACACACGTGTGAGCATAATGAATTGTATCACTTGGTATATCTACTCAGAACTCAGAGCGATTTCCTCTTAGAATTCTTATCGCGTATAAAGTATGTCGAGTAGTCGAGAAGGCCGACACACCTTTTATACACTAGCTACTTAGGTACTACAGTCGTTTTACCTTTTTATGAACCGAGCTCCCGACCTTGGCCGGTCACAGGGACCGTCTCCCTACACAAGTAACCTTTACAACGTTCAACGGACCGTGGAGACATTTCCACAACCTTTAAAAGAGCTTCCCACTCGTTAAAAATATACATAAATGAAGTTCTATTTAAATCGGTCAGGTATCGAAACGATTAGCTGCCTATTATGCTAAGTATCTAAAATAACATACCGTGTTGTGATAGTGAACGTTTCGGTTGTGTGATATGCGAAGCTAGCTTTGTATTGAATTTGAAACGTTTTTGGTGAATCGAGAAGGCAGTGTATGTCAAACAATAAATCGTGCATAATTTGAGTTTTAATTCATGCTAATGAGTGACAAAGCTAATCTCGTAATCTTGAACTAATGAGGAAGAGGATCTTTAATTAAGATTAAGTACAACGCAATTTCGGAAACCATTGTAGATGGGTAATTATAATAAAAGTGTTTTTTTTACTAACTAGTCCCATTTCTGTTTACTGTGAGCCCTTTTTGATGTAATATTTACAAACAGCGGCCCGTTTTATGCGGCCCGTAATATAATGCGGATCTAGATTCAACAAACTGTGTGAATGCATTCTGTACTGTGTCCTGGGAAGATTTTTTTTATCACGTAGAAAATTGTCCAAATCATAAAAAAAAAAGGAAAATCATAAAAAAGTCCGTTGGAGCAAGGTTACAACGGTTTCTCGGCGCATTATGATGTCTTGCGTTGACATTAAGCAATTATCTTGAAGATCGATTCACGAGTCGGGGCTATTTCACTGCCATCATTGTTCGAAGTTCTGCACAGTAAATATCTGCTGTTGTTGCTTGACCAGACCTGAGAAAGCTATAGTGAGTAACACAATGAAGAGACCACCAAACAGTTATCATTACCTTTTTATTGGTAAGCTTTGCTTTAGAGCACTGTTGCGTCGTTTAACCTGGGGTCAGTCATTGCATTTTTCGCTTACGGTTATTGTAAACAATACACTTTTCATCACATGCCACAATTCGATTCAATATTCCTTCATTTCTGTACCGATTTAACAAGGCAACACAAATTTGAACATGCATTTCTTTCTGCAGATCAGTCAAATCATAAGGCAACCATTTTTTTTTTTATCTTATTGATTTGATGCAAATGTAGTTTGACTGGGATCGGCTTCCACCATCCCTTAATTTCAGCGTTATTCATTTGTGTATTCCAAGTGGCGAACCACTTACATTAACATACTTATTTTTTTTTTAAATATAAATATTATAGATAATTTGCACCCAGACACAGAACAAATGACAATGCTCATCACACAATAATTGGTGGGAATTGAGCCCACGACCTCCGGCCTAGCAGTCAGGGTCACTAACAATTAGAGGTCCGGGCCGTATATATATATATATATGGGTGGTACTGTACATGTAAAGGGACACCAGAACATGGTGCAGGAGAACCGTACACGTGCACGTATACATTGTCAACGTGCACTTCTAATCGCTTATCAAGGCCCCCCGCATGTTTGTTTGCAAATATTCGTTTGTTTGCATAATTTCATTTGGTTGCATGGTGCATGGTGCACATTTCTACATCCAATTGTTTTGTTGTCTTGCCAAATTTATTTTTCAAATAAAAAAACCTTTTGCTGTCGCTACCACTTCACTCTGTTTTGATAAACTTTACTACTTTTAACTTTATAAATAATAAACAAGAAAAGAGATTTTGAGTGTATCAAACATGGACCCCAAGTAACTAGCTACCTATCGTTTTATAAACCTTGCTCCCGGCTACTACGTCCAACTTTTATTCCAAAACAGAAAACATTGCTTAACCATGTTTCTCCTTTGGAAAAATTGTATTACAGAATACTTTATTGGTAAAAACAATATGAAAGAAGTTATGATTTATTCATAGAAAAAAATATACCTGTGAATTCATTTTCATTTCAGTAGTAAAGTGTTTGTTTTTTTTTACTGTTGAAAATCTCATTTATTTATCAAATATATGTATATATCGTAATACGTTTATCAAACAACACACAGTCATCCTACATTTTTACACCAACGATATAACAATTTCTACATCACCGAAAGGTTGCCCTGTAAAAAAATTCCAGAGCATTAAGTCTTCCTGTTTTTCTTGGCCTATCACAAAGATTTATCTAAACTCCTAAATGTAACTGCTACCGTAACTAAGCCATATTAGATGTGAGGCTCCAGATGAAATGTGGGTTTAGGTTCCTTATTACTAACGAAAAAATATGAAGTAATATTCTTATTTTGTTATTTCCAGACATACAGATGCGAAGATGACGAGAAAGTTTCTATTCTGTTTTCCCCTAAGGCTGGGGAATGTTATATTCGGATACATTGTAATAGTAAGTATTACATTATTTGCTCAGACCCGCACGTAAAGTAAGAGTAGAATAACTATATTCTGTAAAGACTATACGAGTATTACCTTTTCTTGAAAGTGGATCCTGAGCTAACTCCATTTAGAAAACCACTATGATATAAGTGTATGAAATATATTAGTTTTAAACAAAATACCAATGTGAATAAAGCGTTTAGATGAGTGATGACATCTTTTTAGGCAAAGTATAAATGTGTTGCGCATAAGTCTATTTATTTTTGTAAATATGTAATATTTTTACTATTTCATGCAATTTGTATTAAAACTTAAGTTATTTAAAAGTAGTTGAGACATGATAGAATTGTGCAAGGTTAAAATATCAGAAATAACGCAAGATAAATTTCAAAATATTTAAAAACTCTGCAATAACTGAAATACTCTAGGACATCATGGTATAACATATTTGGACTAGATACACAAAAGGAAATAAGAGAGTTATTACAGATATGCTAAACAGTAATTTCTTGTTTTTTTTTGTTGCTCGAAAAACGTAAGTTACGGTTTTTAAATTGAACTAACTAGCAAATCGTATCCAGAAACTTTGCAAGCATACAAATAAAGGACACAAATAAATACAAATCCAGGACAAAGATCTATGATTCATAAAATATACTAGTTCTCACGTTCTTCGTACTTTAAGGCGGCTGCTTTAAGAAACAATCTGTTGCGTTGCACATCACTACGCGTATTGCACGTCACTACGCCTGTGGCTAATGTTACATCACTATCCGATGCGATGACGTAGCGTAGCTTCGCTCTCGGGAACTCTCTCTTACCCCGACTGTCGAATTGTAGTTAATATCAGTGCTGATGTCTGTCAAGTCGTATAATACAAATACAAAGATATAAAAATCAAGTGTTTCTCTTTTGGACCTTAACAAACCAAAAATTTATTGATAGTGGATTGTTTCTCATAAGTTACAATTTAACAACCGTTACAATAAAACTAATGTTCACATTTTGTATTTTATAGTGCTTTTAGACTCTCAAGTATATAAAAGAAGTTATAGGAATTAATACCTAAAAACCGTATTTGCATATTATAATATACACGAGCGATGAGCGTATCTGATTTTATATGAATGCAATATTGTTGATGCACTGCGGTTTTGCTAAAACATTTACTCTAGGCGTTCTTATGATATGCTTAACATTGAAACTTACACAACACAACATGAGATATTGTAAGCTGTTCTTATGGAGAAATACAAAACATTTGATTTATTAGAAATATTTGTTATGATATAGGGGAAACGAGCAGACGGGTACGGCATCACGAGAGATACAAGAGCATTGCCATACTTTAAGTAACCCAAAGAATCAGAGGTGGGTGAATGAGGTTGGGTTGCTCGTAGGTAATCGGTAAAGAGCAACGAAATAATTACTACACGGATGGACTACGACATCCATGCAGTAATTTCAGCGGTCACCTCGCCGCTTCCTTCTGTGCTAAGTATTGCCTTTAAAAAAACTTAACGCGGGTTTTCTGTGAATCCATGGTATAACTCCAGTTGAGCATTCATGAAAGAAAGTTACCGAGGGAGATCCCTCTCCCACGGTAACTTACTAACGGTTTTATATCTACATAGTTATCGGAACTTAAATTATCACTTAGGTTACTAACTATAACACTATGCAATGTTGCGGTTTACCCGGGATCTACTACATTAAGGTGAAGGTGCTTTCTCTTCCCTCCTCCTCCGAAAGTAATGAATAAATTTAAGATTCTAATACTTGCATTGTCATCATTTGTTTCAGATTATAGCCATAGCAATAGTGGCATTTCATCTCTACGAGTTACTCTTAAACCTGACCAATGACTTCTTCCAGAAGACTGAGAAATTTAGCAATTTCCAGAATCTCGATAATATCTTCGGTTCATCTAAAGACTCGTTAGATAAGATCGTAGTGTTAACGTATTACCTCACATACATCACAATTGGAATGCTTTTATTTTTCTTCTCTATTCTGTTCACGTGTGGTGCATATAAGGTAAGGTGTTTAATATACTAATGTTAAATAATTAGTTTAAAGTAAAACATATTAATGCAAACAAAGAGGGTTATCACATCAGATTTTGGTTGTATTGTTACCGAATCATATTTATGTAATAAAAGTAGTAATTGTACGATAACAAGCTATTGTTGCGTGGCCGTCGTCGAAATCCCAGAAACTGTCGACAATATAATGCGATGATGTATAAAACGAAAGGTGATGTGATAATGGTGATTCCTGAGAATGTGATGCAAGATAAGCGGTAATTGTAAATAATAATAACCTCACACATCTCACACACAGCTAAAAACGAATTGATTATTTCAAAAACATCTGTTTTTCTCATCCTGTCTAAATCCTGGTTGAAATTTACAGCTATGTCACCACAATGCTGTGCATAGTCATTTATATTCTTGTTTGAATTCATACCTTATACACAGTAATAGTGTAAATTGTGTGTTAACACACAAAATTAGATGCTTTTTTACTACTTCAGTTTTATTTGGACCTATAAGTGGACCTAGAAGATACTTAAATATACGAGTGATACGGTTAAATTTTGATGTACAATAGATATAATTATGCTGAGCGTCAAAATAACATGTTTCTTGGAATAAGATTAGAGAGATATTATTTAATATAGTCCTGCCGGAAATTCACGTTTCCACAGGTACGACTAGAACCGCCAGCTCTGATATTAATATTCATAAGTTATGATACCTTTTGTTCACCAGTTCGACATTCCTGAGACCTATTCATGAGACCTTAACATCACAATAATATTTGTACGTAAAGCTATTAATAATTTGCATTACAAAAGCAGTCGGGTCAGCTCATAAATTAATTTTCACATTCATGGAATGATTTATCTGTTGGACCTATTGGTAAGCGATGCTGACTTGTTAATCCAGAGATCATGGGATCGATTACTACCAAAGACAAATACTGTGTGATGAGGACGATAATTTGTTGTGTCTGGATGTGATATGTAGATATTTAGATATATATAAGTATGTTTATGAGAAATATAGGTGCCCGGTTTAAGGGAATATGTAGGCTTGCCCCTATTACGCGGTGGGCGGGCTAAATTATACTCGGCAAAATGTAAGTGCTTAATTCGCCTCTACCTATCCCTTCGGAGATAAAGACGAGGGTGTATGTCAAAATGATATCTGACAAAATGGCCCGTTGATGGAGTTCACTTTAAAATTAGTTACTTATTACTATCATATTCCAATTGCTTTTTTATAGTTATTGAGTACAGTCATGTTCATAACTTAGATCCACTTATCTTTTTGTAGTATGACGTGACTCGATACAATTTAAAAATAATTTAAATAACATCACGAGAAGGTAGTCAAGCAATAATATGATCGACGCATGCAACATACGCATATAATACGTAACCGGTTACGGAGAGAGACAATTATTTATCAATCCAATTAAATTCAACTTAACGAAAAGATCCAAATTACTTTCCTTAGAAATTATCTTTTATTTTGGCTAAAAGACTTTCACTGAAGATTTGGTGAACGAAATTTTAATACAAGTACAAAACGATCAAATAAATTAGACGTTTTGAAAAAAACATTCCGTATTATAAATACTTATTACTTCACAAATTTATCTTGCGGTATACTTACTTATTTATTATTTTATTATACTAGGTCATTGTTAAAAAGCACCCAACTGTGAAACAGTATAATAATGAATAAGGCTCATTTTATTATTTATACAAATAAGAACTCTCGTTGTATAATTTTGACTAGCGATAATTATAATTATTGATCACTCGTCATCATTATGTAGCTTAATGTTGCCCACGATTTGCTATGTACTATGACAACACATTTTGGCGACGTCCAGGCACACGTGGACGTCACCTCCTCTCCGTCCTCGGGGTCAACGGGTCGACTCTTTTGGCTCTTTGAACGGAAAACCCTACGTATGCTGGCACTTAAGCTTAACTACTCAAACAATAAAAGGATCCCTGGGAATACTGTTCCCGAGGTGTGAAAAAATAAGTTTTACGCCAGAGAAGAATCGGAGGAAACCTAGTTATTTATAGTTGCATCTTGAGATGGCGCTTATAAGGAAATGCCAACAACGTTGGCTCGCTAGACCTTAATAATATTTTCACCTCAATGGGATTTTTATTACATAAGCAAATGCAGATCTCAATGATGTGAATAGGATTAGTGTAATGATCAAAGAATTGAATATAGAATGCAACTTTTTTTCCTTTTTTTTGCAGGCCAACCACTGTTTGGTAACTACATTCTTCGTATACAGCTTCTTTCATTTGTTCTTCACAATAATACTGGTTGTGTGGGAAGCTCTATCCGCTGGCTGGATACAATTAGGCTTAATTGCGTTGTCGGATTGTAAGTATTACAATATTATGTTTCTATTTTGATTATAACTTTCACACTAATTAACGGATACAATACATACTTTTTTTTTCTTTTGCGGAAATCCCCTCGGATACCACCTGCCGATGACTATGTCGGACTCGAACCGACTAAAAACCGCACGCCGTCTCGGGTACCAGTAGCCGGGGAACCCGGTGTACACTAGAAAGGAAATCAATGGTACCGAGACGTACCTCGGGGCATCTACGGCAGGTAGATCCTCCCTCCTGTGTGGGAACCCCTATGTTCCCTTGGTGCTCTTAAAAAGGCACGCGCGCTCCGCAACGCGTCTCGCCGCCATCCGTACCTAGACTTAAAATAATTATTTATGAATCTGTATCTCGTATCACCAAATGTGCATATTATTCACTGCCTACAAATTAAAATCTTTAGCCATCAAATGACATTTAGTTTCTCTCAACAAACTCTTAAGCGACTGATTTTAAGATATACCCAACGTTTAAAAGTCAACGTGAATCGATTGACTATTCGACGGATTTAGAAGTAACAAACTCACATTCCCATTTATAATATCTATTAATTCAGGATTATTTACTACTGAGTACTTGATTTACTACTTCTATGGCTGTATTACAAAATTTTGTTGTGGGTACACTATCAAAAAGAAGTTTTGGAAATGGTATTTTAGTAGGTTTAATAATTATCATTGTGTCATACCTATGAATTATAATTATTAAATCTAATAAAATCAGTAGTTAAAAAAAAAGTAAGTGTATTGGTAATTAAAAAAACGAGTGTACGCTTTCCATTAAACAGTTTGATTATTATTTAGGACGAATTTACCAAACTTGATAAAAGACAGCGTAACCAGTGACATCCCAGTATTTTTAAACATCCCCCTGTTTCAGAGTAACATGACCTGCATTGTAAGCACTTATATTATGTGCACAAAATACAACAAATCAATTAGCTTACCGTGGTTGATAGTGATGTATAAACTTACTTGTGATATAGATGTGTAAATCTACTTCCTACTAATACTACCATTGTTGATGGCATTCAAATTACAAACACAACTAAAATCAGTATTTAATTAAAATTAAAATATTTTAAAAGAACTAATGAAAGGTGTTAAAAAATGACAGATTACAAACTTAATTGAAAAGGTACGTGACACTCATCTTCTGAGGATTTCTTTCGTTTCTTCTTAGTTAATATAATCAAAGGGGTCAGGGGAACGAAGCATTATCTTCTTATACAAACAACAAAAAGATTTTTTATAATCAGTACATCATCATCAGCTTATCGCAGTTCACTGCTGGATATAGGCCTTTCCCACGCCACGCTAAACAAACGATGTATAAAACTTAAAAAGGAATTAATAGGCATTAATAGTGGCGCATCTAGTTTTTTTGCAGTGCATTATTCTCAGACAAAAATGTTCATCCTAAATCCAATTTAAAAATCTAATAATTTTTTTAGATCAATCTATAGGATTTCCCAAGGTCCTGAAATGAATACTCCTTTGTGCTTTTTAAATTCGTTTTTGAAGGCTGTGAATGCTATAAAGGAATTTTAGCGAATAGGGTTTGAAAATAACATAACATTCCCTTACCTCTGCACTGTGGAAAGTCTACAAAGATGCATCTGCGTTGTAGGTTGTTATGTACCAAGTAAGTAGGTTCTAATAAGACAGCTAACAGTAACAATACAGAGTATGTGGGTTCAGGTAAGTACTATAACTCAAAAACTATCCGTTGAATAGAAAGCACACACATAAATACGTTCGTATGAATGTTATATTCGTAATTAGTACTGACTAGGTACTCATGCCGCCCTGAGTGTGGTCGCGGATGGACGAGACGGGATTTTCCCTCCACCAGCCATAACGACCAGCCGCGAGGGGGATCCGGGAACTGCTGTCGCCGTCTTAATACCAGCAGTTCCCGGATCCCTCCTATTATCGGCGCAGAGTGGCACACCGTGTGGTGTTAGTCGGTCCGATTCCGACACACCACCCCGCCGCAAGCGGGCGTGACGGGCCCGAGGGGGTTTCCACACGTAAAAAAGGGGGTTGATAATACCCACTAACTTTAGTAGTGAGTGAGATAAAACCGTCACCGTGCGCAACTTACGGTCAAGAAATATCTACTCACTAACGACGTCAAATGTACGAAAACATAAAAATACGTATAATAAATAACTCTAATAAATAAATATATAATAAACATTCGTATAATAAATAACTCTAATCAATAAATAATAAGTAAAACACTTCTCGTCGCGTGTGAATGTCTCACAAAATAATTTTGTACCATTTTGCTCTTTTCCATAAGCTAATGCTATCTATGCAACAAGTGCGGCTACTTTTTACGTAAGATTACTACGAGTGTATGTAACAATACAATTTAAATGCATGTATTAAGAAAAGTGTTTAAGCCGACTTGACAAAATCTCAACCATACAGAAGATCACATCTAAAGAATATTAGATACATGGTGTAGTGATACTCTTGACGCCTAGAAAATCCGAATCTTCAAGCCCCACAACACACCATCATCGTCTAGTTTGACATAGAAATTAGTAGAAAACTTGTGATGATATTTTCTTTTGTTACAGTGCTCCTGATAATTTGTCTCTTCAGCGTCAAGTATCTAATGGAAGCAATCCGAACAGGCAACATTTATAGTCGACCCGGAGAAGTTTATTATACTTATTAATTTATTAACTTAAAATTGTTGGAAATAACTTTTGTTACATTTTGGGACAAGATCTTTATACGAGTGGTTTTTTAATACATTAGCTTTTTTTTTTAAAGTAATGTGATTAAAAAAAGTTTAGCTTTAGACGAAGTATTTTATGAATACTGAATGATAAAAAAAGGAAACAAAAGTCATAAAAACGATAAAGAAAGTCAGACACTCATTTAAATGTAAGTTTAAGTTAATGCTTTATGACATGCCCAAGAAAGTTGAATATTATTTGGAAGTACCACAAAAGAAGTTACATGATGTAAAATGATGTACCGTTAATGACATGAAAGTAGAAGTGAATGTCACGATTGATACTATAATTTGCAGTAATGTACATATCAATATAGGTCATCTCTCTGTTGATCAGATATGGATAAAGTATTAAAGTATTTTAAAATCTTTACTTAATAATGAATTAACGCTAAACATCGTCAAAAAAAGCAAATTTAAAATTGTCAAATAGCTTCAGATGTTGTGGATATTTTACAGGATTTTCCTTTAAAAATTAATAAAGGTAGATGGCTTAGATATTGCCATGGATAAATTTTATTTACTTTCTGACAACCACGTCTATACATACATAATACGTCTGGACGTATATAAATACATATAAACTAAATGTTGCTTATTCATAAGCTTGTCACTTGAGATGGGGTTGCGCCGATTGACTTATAAAGTTAAAGTACCTTGTAAGATTTTTACAAAAGATAAATTGAATAATTCAAAAGAACTAACAGCGTTTGTTTTTTCCCTAAAACATAAGGACCATTAACTATTTCTTTTTTTTTATTCATCACAAAAACATTTGAATGATGAAACGGATCAGTTGGTTAACAATAAAATGTTTGATTAGAATGGTGCTAATTTGAGGTAAAAATAAAAATAGGTAAAATGTAAACAATGTTTAATTTGTAAGTCATAACTTCTTTAATTACTACAATAACATACATTCAAAATAATCAATATATCACAACGATCTTAGCTGCTAGACTGAAGCATAATATACGCTTTAAAAAAATTAACTGTGAAACACAGTCATAAATATGTAAGGCTCAAACATTTAAAAACTGTAAGTCATCATAAAATAAATACCTATATCTAAATATCCTAACTATTTAAAAACTAAGCCTTATCGTCTATATTTATATAATAAATTATCTATTTCTGAATGTTCTTGTGTTCTACTTATTTCTCTTCTACGTCTTTTTCCAAGCATCATAGGAACAACCATAGCCATAGTGGCAGGCACCATACCTGCGCCCACAGCTGCTAACAAGGTTGATGAATCTGGTGAAACATTAGAAACAACCCTTCTCTTTAAAACTTTATTTTTCGTTACTACAGGCCTGTAGTTTGTGGCAGCAACATCTAAATCATTCTTCTTATCCATATCACGTTTAGATTCCTCCACCGTTTGAAAGCTCTTTTCAACTTCTAATAAGCCTCCATGTGAAGTGGTCATATTAGTATGCGCTTTATCAACGGGCAGCACTGTCAAGGCTACGGCTTGATGCGAAGTCATAGTAGTCAAATCCATAGGATCATCAGCTTGCGGCAGGGGGTTAAGAGAACGTTGTCGCTTTTTATTTCTGTAGCCTTTAGTTGTTGAGAGTAACACCCACTGACCATTGCCATGGGATGGCCTAGAAAGTCTATCATTATCATAATCTGGAGATCCAGCATAAACTACTTGCGTGGGTTTTCTTAAAGGCCTCTGAAGGGACATACTTGTTGGTTTTTGCAGAGCTTCATACTCGTGAGGGAAATCAGCAGGCCGACTATCCGTTAACACGGAATCAGGCATGCCGTAAAATACCGTATCATCATCATCGGGATAGTTGTTGTGAGTATCGCAATTAGGCTTATGTGGACGTCTTCCTTCATCGGGAGCCCACGACGACGGATAAGATGAATGCTGCGGTTTATTCCAGGTGGGTTTCGAAGGTATTTCTGATTCGAAGTCCGCAGGGCCATGTATTTTGTTTGTGTTATATCCAGGACGTACAAATGTTGGACGTTTTTGCGGATAACTGTAACTATTTTCGGACTGTTGACCAGAAGAAAATCTGTCATCAGGCGGGAATCTATCATCACTCGGGTATCCTTCATTACTTGGGAACCTATTATCATCATCGTTCCAATGTGGTTTTTGTTTCTTAATGTTGGGCTTCCATTTTGAAATCTTACTTGTTGACCATGCAACTGGTTCTAAAGTTACCCATCCATCTTTGTCATCGTAGGGATGTTTATGTTGCTTTACTTTCAGACGGTTCCATGTTGTATAAACTTTTCCATTATTTTCTGCGTCGTCCATGTCACTACTTAACAAAGAGAATCGATCGGGTTGAAGTTTATCCTTTTTCAACTTAGCAGCAAGTGCAGAGATGGCTTGTAGGCGATCCTGTGGGAAATCACCATAATCCTTCAGTTTATCAGCAGTTAATACGTAATCGTCGAAAGCTTCGTCAATTTCTTGGTTGTAACCTTCTTGGCAGGAGGGCCCATAGCACCTTGGTCGATGTCCATCCAAGTCATGCACAATATGGGTCATAAGGTTTTTCATTTCGATGTCTCCTTCATTTTTATTCTGTTCAAACCTCAGTTCATCCCATTTAACATCATCAGGTTTCACATCATCAGGAGTATTTTCTATTATAGTTATTGGCTCTTTTCCTGGCACCTCAATTTGATAAGTATTAATCTTTCTGTCATAGTTGTCACTTTGTACCTGATCTTCGCAGCTCGTAAGAACAAGGGCAAAACCGTAAAAAAGAAATAATCGCACTGTTATTTTCATTGTATTCATTTTCACTTTCGTTTGGTCCCGTGTCGGCGCGCAGGCAAGGCGCGCGAGTACTGAGCGCTGGCGGTCGTCGCTGTGACTGATATAGTTTTGATTGTGGATGCACACTTACCCTCCCTGCGTTCTAATGCAATGCTGATTTTGTATGGTCCACGACGAATGAGAAAGATAATTATGTGGCGATTGTCGTTTACTGACGACTATCTTAATTCACTATCGCTACTCTCGGCTCCGTGACCCGCGCTCAGGTGAAACTGTTTTTCATTTTATGGGATATTTTCACAATGAATACTTGAAACTCTTGCAATTCACAAACGACTGGGTAAATTTATGATTAAAATCTTAAATGGTCACAAGACATTGTTAGAATACTACGTACGATATTTTATTTTAAATAGTAGCAACAAAAAAAAACGTTTTGAGTATTTCTGTCTACATTATAATTAAAATTCTACATTAATTTTATTATTTAACGTTGATTGCCATTGCTAATAAGTGTTTCATTTGGATTAATGATCTAGTAAGAATGCAATATATGAAATTATTTGAGTTCAATGAAAATTTATTGTTATTTCTTTTGGATCAATCTTCTGACGTTATTCAATTAGCAAAATTAATAACAATACTTTTAATAATTTAAAACACGAATAAAAAAAAAGGAGTGTTACTAATTTACAGATAGGTAATTAGTAGAACTAGTTTGTAAATTCTTAAATTATGTTATTATATCAATTATTTTCACTTTTTTAATAATACAGTCGTTTTATTGAACGAAGAGAATGCACATGTAAGATGTTGTTAAATTTTTCTTTAGCGTATCTAGCCTCTTTGGTCGAAACACTTCTTCGGTCACTAATGCTATGACCGGTGAGCACATTATCCAAATATTTCATTTTCAATATTTTTTCAATATTTACTTGGACAATTATAACTTCGATATAACATTTTTCTTCGTTAAAGAAAGAAAATGAATATTTTAATTTTATTTAATTTAAATAAAGAAATCTACAATAAAAATAAAACAGAACCTTGATATAAATTTACCTACTTCTCTAACGCAGTCTGTTTCCCCCGCTTCGAGCTTGCTCTCTCCATAACAGCAAACCTACTTATTATCCCTATCTAGACTCGGATCAACTTCGCTCTAATTGTAGACTGCACTTTTACCAGAGTTCTTCCCTCCTATACGATATTGGCAATACAATAGTTTCTCTAGAATTTATCAACGTTTAAAATATAATCAACAATGTAATTTAGGACATCCGGGTGAGAACTGTAGCAAATCAGCACATTATTATAATAGAGCATTTAAATAAGCTTTCAAACAAACAATATAATGAAAAGAGAAATGGATAATCATCATCCATCACCGTCGATACGTAATCAAATATTTTTTTACAAATGAACAGACTACACATATCGCTTGCGTTGTTTTGGTAGCGTTACATAACTGAAATTTAAATGGGTGAAAGGAACGGTCCGTGGTAATACAACATAATCGCACGGGTATTAGAAATTTCTTACTACACTCAAACTTACGATGTATAGTGACTGAATGTATTTGCGTTCGAATGGCAATTTAATAACATGTTTTACTTGTGTCTTGAAATGTTTTCCAATTACTACTATACTACATTTAAGGGTTGCTGATAGCTATATAAGAAGATTAATTTTAATACGGGTGTACTGTTATTTCGAATGGGCTGAAGGATTTCTGAAGATGTTGCTCTGTTAGTAAACAAACAATTTTTGTTTACCGTTAGATACTTTCGTTTGCGCTACCTACCACTGATATTAGTGACGTGCCGCCAACCTTCTATTCGATTGAAATCTGGTGTAAATAATACTGTTGTATTGCATTTATTTACAGAGTGAATGTGCTCTGTTGTGCTAATGGTTTCTAAAAAGTTTTCGTCCTTATTCATCCTTGCATAGGCAAACGCTATGAGCATGGCAACTGTCTCATTGTTGCAACATATCATTTAACTTATCGAACGACAATGATTTACAGAAACGGTAAGATTGTCGGTTTTAAAGGTGACTACACACACGTAGACTACCACAGGTTTATCAGAGATCCAATAAACCAAAATCATTATCCCGTTGTTGCGGAAGCATTAAACTATCGAATTAATTTTGTTAAAGCAAAAAAAAATTAGCAAACATTGTCAATCAATTAAATTTTAAAATAAAAAGTTTTAGAAATCATAGTCGACCATCTGTGGGCTGTAGAAAGCATAAAGGAGTAGTTGGCGTTAAATAAGAACGACAGAGGTGTCGGAGAGCGTGACCGTGACGAGAGATAACTTGGTACTGTCATGAAAGGGCACTTGTAATTTACAACGTAATACTGAAGGTACAAAAGGTAAGATTGGCGAAGTTATAAAGAAAAAGGTGTATTGTATAAGTCAATTCGTTTTATTTCCAATATACTTTACACTGTAAATAAAACGATTTTAAATGTCCCAAAAGGGTTTCTTCCAAAAACATGAAATCTTGGCGAAGCTTACTATCGATGTTATCGCTTTGTTACCAAGTTTAATCAAGTTCTTGTGTATTTGTGAACTGTGAAACGAATTTATATACCGTACATCAATCACAAAAAACCTGAGAGCTTTGCAATAATTGCGATTATGACATCTCACCTACCATATGAAGTCTAACTTTAGCACTGCACGCGCTCATTGGTGAAATAAAAAAAAACGTACGCTTCCCCGGCTTCCTGGAACAAACTTCCGTTTAGGCATGGGACAAAATCACAGTAAACTGTAAAGGCCCGTGATTTATCATTCGATTTTTTCGTACGTAGGTTAGGGTTACATCTTACTTCCTCGATGAGGTATCTGGGGCTCGTACTTGATAGCCGATAGGACTTCGGACACCATTTCCGAGGTCTGGTCCCCAAGTTGGTTGATGACTCCTTCAGGACACTCTACTCGGGTGTTGTGCGGTCCATGGCCTTTTATGGGCCCAGTATGGGCGGAGGCCCTGAAGGCTAGCAACGTCGCACTACTGCGACGACCGCAGCGAGTGCTGGCCATCAGGGTCAGGAATGACCTCCATCCTCCACAAGCGCAGGCCTGGGGGTGGTAGGTGAGGCCATCTGTCACCCTAGCAGAAGCAGGCCGGGGTGGTGGCTAGACGCGCTGCCAAGCGCACGCGTCTTTTCAGGAGCACAAAGGAGAACAAAAACGTAGGGGTTTCCACCCAGGAGGGGGTCATTTAGATGGTCCGAGGTACGTGGGGTTATCAGGGATTTCCTTCCTAAGGTACACCTGGTTCCCCGGCAACTGGTACCCCGAGACAGCGTGCGGTTTTTGATCTGTGCGAGCCCGACATAACCACCGGTGGGTGGTATCCGAGGGGATCTCCACACAAAAAAAAAATTGTTACTACTTACTCACGCGTTCTTGCCAATAAGCTGTTATCAGACGATGCACAAAGACCCTATTTCGCCTGTTTCACAGTAAATCTAGTAATTATTTACTTTACTTACGCAAAAATTGAATGATAAATCACAGTTCACTGTCATTTTGTCCCATATCTACTTCCGTCCCTTTTCCAAAATAACTTTCAACTGCCAAGAAGGCCAGGGTAAAAAATTTCACATCAAAAAGATTCTATAATACCTACAGGAATAATTCGTTTCGAATATTCAATTAGTTTTGCCGTAATATAAATAATATGAAGAACTCAACTCAATTAGCAGGCAAATTGATTTATTTATAGTTCTTTTTTTTTCATAACCGGGCAACGACTAACCGTATTCAGTACAATGATAGCGTTTTTATTTGCTTTCCACGAATACCCACGAACTCTTACATTGTGCGATCACACCAATTTTTAATTCAATAGCATAAAGTTTTTGAGAATTTATACAATTATTGAAATTTCACCAACGTTTAATGATCTATTTATTCTGAAATACCATATGTGTTTTAGTCTACCCTTACTAAGTTTCAGTCGTCCACTCTGTCACACTGTCGTATTACTGAAATCATTTTCATGTTAAGTAGTTAGTCGATCAGCGTAATTCGTCTACAAAGCATTTCAATACCCAAATTGACAGTACACATTATTGTAAACTTATTGCGGTTAATAAAAAAAGAAAGAAACCGTTGTCTGCAGTGAATTGTTTATGTTTTGTGCTATTGTTGTGGCGCCGGCGCACTCGCTTTCTTTATGATTCTTAAGAGGAGAACACACACTAGGTCGGCAATCATATAAAATTTCTTATAGACATTGCGATTTTATAAAATTATCCCTTTACATTTTTATTTCAGAAATTTGTTATGAAGCAAAATATTTCCATGAAAATCAGTTAACATTCCTATTTTATAAATTTTTGTTACTCAAATGTAGTTAATTATAAAGAGCAAGTCCAAAAAAACAGCTTAGAAATTCAAATACAAATAAGCTTCCATTTTATCCCGTTCATAAATGTACTAATATCACGGAATCACCGTATAAATACACGGTTACGGGTAAACATTCTACTTTCGAGTCTTGGGTCTGAGAGGAATAACCTGGCAATTTTGAAAAAGCGTCTCTTAAAGAAAACTTAGATGCTTAATTTATCGTATTATGTATAAATATATGCCGTTGATTTAATCATTTTCAATGTTCAAAATGTAGTATATTTTCTTTTACGTAATATTTAGTTCCTTCATTGTTTTTGTTGTATAGTAGAGGATACTGTTTCGTAAATCAAAATCCTAAAGGACTCTCGTTGAATTAGGAAAATAATATTCTACTCACAAAAATCGAAATCATTCGCCGTTTTGCCCTTAGCCTAAAAATGTAACAGTTATTATTACGTAGTAGTCGTTACTTTGGCCGAATACAATTGCATCACGGCTGATATGCTGCGAAAGCGCAATTATACCAAATATTATTGCAGGCTGAGACAATAACACTTTCAAACACATTTAGAACTGTGGTAAGTACAGAGCTATAGCTTGATAACTTCATGCTACGTGAATAGAGCAATTTAT